GGGGGACAATTCTAGACTTTTCCAAGACTCCCCCGCCCCCCGGATTTACACCTATGCCTCTGAGGGCCGGTTCTGTTGAGGCCCGGACTCGACTTCTCTAATGATCAGACACAGAGACGCTCAGTTTCCTTTAAAGGGACAGAATGCAGTTGTTTTTTTCTTCCTTTTTTTAATTTCAACTCTTGATTGATATGTAGATTTAATGATGACAGGCATTTCTTAAAACTGTATGAAGCCCCTTAGCGGACATGAGGTAAAATGTTTCTTTTGCGTCATTACCTCTCAATACTTTAGCATTACCGCACAATAACGTACTGATCAGTTCATGCAGCATATTTGAATACCAAAAGTCTTTCTTGGTGGCCACTGTACATTCTGCTACAATATAAGGTCATCGTAAGGTTTTTTCATGGATGTTAATATCCCGTTTGTGAGATATATGGAGCTTTATGTCTTTTTCTTGAGGATAGAAATGCGTCAGAAACCTGTGTGCAAAATGCAAAAGCAAGACAGGTCAAACATGGGCTGTTCATCTCCCTTCTAAGATGTAAACAAACTTTCCATAAGAAGGAAAGAAAGAAAAAATACATCCAAACTATTTGGAGAATTTCTGTCACCTGATTGTGTCTTTTATACGTCTGTAGTCTGAATGGTTAATAAAGGGCCGTTTTTATGTGCAGTTCCATCTCTATGATATCACATGACTTTAAAATAGTACAGCTTGGAATTACGAAAATAACTGCTTAATGGAAACACAGCAAAAAAAAAAAAAAAAACGTTTGCTCCAACTTGTGGGGGTTTATCAGCTGTATTTGTGCAACAGAAACACTTTTTTCACATATTTACCAGCAAGAAAAGAGGAAATTTGATTTTATTTCTTACGAGGATCACTTATGTCAATATGACAGTTGGTTAATGTTATCCAAGGATTGAGTCAACGTTTGTATTAGAACATGGATTGAATTTGAGTCCACATATTTGCGCTGTGCAACAAGGTTGCACGTTGGTGCTTTTGATCTCTAAGCCTTAGATGGAGGAATGTACTTTGATCAGAATCACGTTCAGAGTTTAGGCTAATAAACCATACATTGTGTCCTTATGAATGTGTAAACACAAGCACTTCCTGCTCTCTGTACTCAGAACAATGCTCTGTTCCTGGCTAGGCACGTCCAATTCTGGACGAGTTCATCAGTCGACACATTCCACAAATCCTCCCCTTCGTGGATTGTTAGGAATAACTTTGTGAGAATCGCCTCATCGGTGGTTTACTTTAAAACCACTTCCCTTCATCCTTCCGTTTTCACATCCCTGACCGTCGACTTCCCTGTTTTCAAACTCATTTCCCTTTCTTCATTCCCCAAACTCTTGGCTCCTCCTCCTCCTCCTGCCCCTTCCTGTGTTTACCTCATTAAGTTACCGTCACCAGCAGCTGCTGAGGGGGGATAAAAACGAGGGGAAGAGCTTCCCTCCTCTTCCCCATCATTTCTGCATCTCTTCTTCCTCGGCGTGCCCTCGGCTTGCCGGGTTTGATAACAGCCTGCCACACACATTGAGTGTTTCCTCTGAAAGCGTCGAGAGCAAACCCAGGGAAGGCGAGGGAGGAAGCGCGAATGAGGAGAGGACAGGGACGTGTCCTCTGCTTGGACACTGATTGTTACTTGTGGTCCTCATCGGAAGATGTTAGAAGGTCAGCAGTGAAACAAACGGCGTGATTACGGCGGCCTGATGGGGAACATCAGAGCCTCGTTGTGTTGGTGAATGAACGTTTCCTCTGGCAGGAGCTGTTTTCACCGTTTGACTGGTATTTGACCTGACACTGACCTAAATTCTTCCCGGCCATCCGATAGATCTGCCAGACTGACGGAGGGGGCAGTGGTCACTGGGGGCGAAGGGGTTCAGGGGGGTACGCACTGTTTTGCACCACCCTGAACAGAACGGCGTGGCCATCAATGAACACAAGTGTCATAAAGTAATGTCCTACCACTGCTGTGGTTTACAGGAGTAGTAAAGAGGCGCAGTGAGCTCGCCCTCCCCCACCTGTTGCTGTGCACTGCTGTCAGGACTAAGGCAACTAAACCAGGTTTTCTGCAAGTTTAACCAACTCAAATTTAAGACTTTTAAGACCATTACGAATGAAGTTTAAGATGTGCACTACCACAGAAATGTACTATATAAATATGTATATGAACATTAGAAATTACAGCTACGAAGAAATGGTAACTTAGTAATAGTTGAATTTCCATTGACCATATGATCATTGTGTAATTTGATATTTCGCAAATATCAAACGAGGCGCGTTTTTAAATGACTTATTGCGAACAAACTTCTTCACGTGTGATTTTAATTGTGTTTCTTATTTAATGGAAAAACCGCCGTCGCAAAATTGTCTTTTTTCAACATTAGTGAAATATTGACAAAGTTCAGCACTCATTTGTAATGAAAACTGGATAATGTGAGAGAAATAATAGAGAAAAGTGGCTGTTACAGAAGCCTGGAGCGGACAATTTCCTTGTATACTTTTTTCCTGATGGTTTTCTCGAGGTTACAACTTCATTTTGTCATTCAGACAGTAATCATTTGCTTAACTTGATAATGAATACTTGAGCTGTACTGTCTTCACTCAACATAGTGCTGTTATCTGATAAGTCTGATTAATGGCCCAGTTGTTACCCAAAAAGAATATCATTTACAAATAAAAGGTTGTGTTTTTTTTTACAAGTGCTTCTACTGCTGTATTTCTTAAACTTACTTAACACAAAGTTAACGTCCATTCAGCTGTAAGCGGCGGTGCTTATAGCGGGAAAATGATTCTCTAGCCCGGCGCCTCAATGTGTCGCAAATAGTACATAATAGACGACTGGCTGTGAGGATGGAGAGAAAGAAGAGAAGAAAACAAGAGCATTCATTTTAATTAAAAACAAAAAAAATCGTGGGTTTAAAAGTGTAGGCATATACACCTCGGAAAGTTGTAGTAACTGTAGTAACGGCTGCAGACTTGAGTCGTGTTCTGCTCCAGGCTAATCACATCACCGTGATTTCAGTTTGTGTCGCCGTGGAGCCAGAGCAGCCTCCCCACATGAAGCAACATCTGTTCGGGGAGATTCCTGGAACTACTTGGTCTCTCTCTCTCTCTCTCTCTCTCCATGACCGAGCTTCCTCCATGCTTCCTCTGACAGAAGGTGGCCACCATCACCACCAACAACAACAACAACAAGCAGCAGCGGTGAAACGAACAGCTGCTCAGCCTCCCTGATGGAACCAGGAATGATTTATGCCCACCCTTCCCTCCTCCAGCAGCCCTCCTCTTCCTCTTATGTAATACAAAGTCCGCTGCGGCTGATTAGCCGTTACTTAACCCGCAGTAAAGCAGCGGAGGGAAGGGGGGGGGGGAGATACGTGGATGGAAACCGGAATAAGGAGAAGCGGATCGCTCTGTGTCCGTTTCCCCCCCCCCCCTCCGGCGGTGATCCAGCGGCTCTTGTGCAACAGTTGCGCCGGCCACCCCGCCCACAGCGCCCGGACTCAAGTCTCCCCAGAATCAATAATCATCCCTGCAAGTCGCTCCTACCTGATATCCCCGCTCCGATCACCACAACGTCGTAGTTGTTGCTGGGTGCAGTCATGGTTCCCGTCTGCCGCTCTGCTCCGCTCCGAACCGAACCATCCGATCGCCGCTGAACGCAGGGCTGCACACCGAGGAGCGCATCTGTATTAAACAGGCCCACTCCCACCTGGCTCCGCCCACACATAGTAAAGCGGCGCCGGGGAAGGAGGATTAATTCAGGGAGGTGTTCGTGGGTCTGCGGGGTGAACAGGACGTGAACTTCACTCCTGGTCAGATAAGATTTGCCAGGCCCAAAGTCTTCTCTTATCAAGGTTTTTTTTTTCCAGTCAAAGATTGATGGCGGAAAGATCGAAAATCTTTGAGTTGATTCCAAAAACCATAAAAACAGGAGAACTATCCTCCTTTCACAGCTGTGCTGTCTCAACTTTTTGCCGTGGGAAGCAAAAAAAAAAAGTTCAACTTCAAATCACTTTGAGAACTTACGGTTCTTTTTTAATTTCTTCTTCTGCCCAAATTAAACGTGAAGTCCAAATTTTCATGTTTAAAAACAGTTTTGTTATAAATATATTTGCTGAATTCATCCAATGTGCTCAGATGTTTACGATTCTATTTACTACTGAATTTGAATGAATTAAGAAATCTGGTAAATAAATGAGAAATAATTTAGTGTATCCAAGGTTTTCATTTTTTAAAATAATTTTTAGATTTTGTCTGTGAAAATTTCACTCTTAATATTAATAATAAAAGTATGACATTGTCACTTTTATTATTAATAAGTGTTCATCTGCAATGCAGATGCAGACCAGATCTAATCCATTCTAGAGCTGGACACTGTAAAACGTAATAAGTGGACTTTAAAAAAGATATATCTAATAAAAAGTTTCCAAAACTTAAAAATGTTGTTTCTGTTCATCTTAAGTTGATACAGCTTGACTAACTTGATCATTTTGAATAAGTTTTAATGATAAAAACTTAAATACTGTAAACCTAATTAATTCTATTTACTTCTGAAGTATGCAAACAGGCTTCAAATATTTTTTTAGTTTTCATTAAATCACCTGATTAAGTAACATTAGTTGGATACAAAGTGTTCCTGACTTCTGCTTTCTGTTCGTTTCTTTGTTCAAACTGACAGAAAACATAGAAAACAGTGATAGTTGCACTTTTTCAGCTAAACAATCAACTTAAACTTAGAATTTTTCCTTGGATAAACTTAATTTGATTGTAGTTTTAACAAATCAACTCCAGTTTTTTTCAAGTTTGATGACCTGTTTTCATTTTTCAGTGTAGTTTCTTGAAGCTGTGTCCGTGCTTTGTGAAAGTATTCATAGCTCTGAATCTTTCTCACACAGATTTCAGGTTGCAGGTGAACAATGCGGTGACAAAGATCTTCATTTCTGGAGAGATGGACTGTACTCTGATGAAACTAAACTGTTTGGCCATAATGACTAATGTTACATTTGGAGGAAGAACAGGGATGCTTGAACCATCCCAGCTGTCAAGCATGGTGGTGGCGGCATCATGTTGTGGGTTGTTTTGCTGTAATAGAAACTGGTTCACTTCATAAAATAGATTGCATCATGAGGAAAAAAAATACTGAAGCAACATCTCTAGACATCAGCCAGGACGTAAAGCCTAGGGCACAGATTCATTCAAACTGGTCACTTTACTGGTTCTTTTAACTCATTTTTGATTCATGCAGCATTTTTGCAACTGAAGGTTACTTGATTGTGCTCTGAAATGGGACTATGTGCCTGGAAAACACACAATGCTGCCCCTTTAACTCTGCAGTTGTGACCCTGTGTGTCCTGACATGGTTTGGCACAGTGGCCTACATCCACTCAGACTGTGTGACTCACAGGCTTTGGTTAGAGACTAAAACGTTTTGCGTTCTTCGGCTTTTGTTTCCCTCTTGTGGCCACTTGGATGTGCTGCGATGTTCACTGCAATTATAGACATCCAGCTTTTATTGAACAGTGTATTTCAGTCACATTTGATAGAACAAAACCCCCTGACTTAGGTTGGCATGTGAAACAGTTTGCCAAAAAATTAGGTTGTTTTGGGGGGGAGGGGTTTCGGCAAATTGAACACAGAAGAAGTGAAACTCTCTGCTTTACCTGCTTAAATTTGATGCAATGCACAGATATTTAGTTCACATTTCAGCTGGGCTGGATATACATTAAGGTTCCCCTCTTGGCGTAATCTGAGCATGATTGTCATAATCCTAATCCTCATCTATGGAATAAGCTACTAAAGTCCGACGCTAGCACATCGCTGTCCTTTCAGGGAGTAGGGCAGTGAGACTGAGCAGGAAAGGAGAAGGTAAGCGTGTCGATGCAGAAATGTTCCTCTGACTGACAGATGATTAACCAGAAACTGTTCACTTCTAGAACCTCCTTCTTTTATTTCATTTCACAGAGCCTTGCAAAGGAAGACAAAATTATGGTTAAATAAAAGTGTTCTCCCTTTAAATTCATGGATTTCACATCGCTTGAGCATATAAATGGTTTTAAAATTCTTTACAGACATTTTCTTTTTAAATACATTTGAATGAGTAATAAATAATGACATTATTTGCACAAGTAATCAAGTCTTTTAGCAGTCTGTGACGTTTTTAGTTGGCCTCCTCCCAGTGCTAACCTAGACAACCAATCAGAAAGAAGAGGTGGGTCATGGTGCTGTCAATCACCCTCTGTGTGGCGCAGCTCATCCTTTCTCTCTGCTACACTGCAGTTAGCATAGCGTGTCATAAATGCTACAGCTAGTTAGCATGGCCAACAATGACTGTGGATAAATGTTTTTCCTGTAGTGGTAAGTCGTTTCTCTGCCATCAGCACATTTAGCAGCACATACAAGAGGTTGATTGACAGCGTCAAGACCCTCCTTCTGGCTCTGATTGGTTGATTTTGTTCTGGAGCACTGGATTGCTTCAGATGGAAATATAAACTCAGAGGTAAAGTGGAGGAAATTGATCTTGTCACAGATCATCTGTCTCATAAACTTTTGTTTTTGTAATTGTAAAATACAAGGTTTTTTTTTTCTATTAAAGCAATTTCTGTTAATGTGATGACCACCTGAAAACATACTCTGGTGGTTGTGGTTATAAAAAAACATCCAAAATTTCAGGGGGTATGAAATTTCTTTATAAGATATTTTACGTTGTTTTGCTCTGGTTTCAAACACTTTTGTAGAGAATGACATATGAGATCCAACATATAAAACTCACTCATCCAACACCTCCTCCTAGTTATGATTATTATCATTTACCTTCATATTTACTCTGTGTTGTCTGAATAATAATCAGAAAATTTCACTCTGTTTACAGTCACGTAGACCAGAGTGAACACAATGTGTGTCCTGGGACTTGCCAGCAGAGGGCAGCAGCGGCCTGGCATCATCGGAAACGTTTCGTCGGCCTTGAATCTCGACCCCCTCCCCAAAAAACGAAGAAAAAAGTTTCTGCTGCCTGAGCAGGTCCAACATGTAAAATTAAGCCTTACCACAATATAAAGCCCTACTTCCCTTCCACATAGTCGTACAGTCACCTTTAATAAGCCAGAATACTGAAAAGGTAAATTATTTTATAGATTATTCACAAAAACTCACTGATGTTTAAAACCTTCATTTCTGCTAATAATGATGATTGTTTGCTTACGGTTAATAAAAACCCAATATCTAAAGGTCGGATGCCTTGCTATGTTGTCTTATTGTCTTTTAAATGTTTTATGTTGTTTATGGTGACGCACGGTGCAAATTAGCTTAGGCTATAAACGTTTCAGGGTTCGGTGTTTGTTCATTCTTGTAAAATTCTCTCTCATTATTGTTTATTTGCATGGGGACAACATGACAATAAAAAGCATTTTAAGAAAGAAACCTTAAATTAAAAAGGAAATAGATTGAGCACCTGCTTAAAGAATATTTTCAAAAAAGTTATTCCCAACCTGGCAACTGAATCCCATCGGAACGCATATTCTAAATTATTGAACATGACTGCGCATAGCCCTCCAACACAATTTTCTAATTTTACCTAATAAATTCTTTTGTCCTGCGATCGGAACATTTGGTGCCGGTTTAGCTGGGTTTTCTTTTTTTTCCTGCCAGTAAACATTTTCAGCTGGTCGCAGTCCCAGAACCTCCTCATTAGACTCTTTTAGGCGATGTTTTCTATCTGATTTGGTCAATTAAATCAGTATTACACACTCGGTGAAACCCCCAATTTACGTAAAACAGAGAATGATGGAAGTTTATTATGCCTCGCCGGCCACACAGACGAATCTTCTTCTATGGTTTCCAAGTGTTTTACAGGAAATTCCTCCTGGTTGTCCAACACCAATAACCAAAGAGAATAACCAAAAAACAACCTCATTTTAACGTTACATAAAACTGTGCCAGACACTAAACCTCAAAGCACTGGATATGTGAATGGAAATAAAGGTTTTATGTGAATGAATAAATTTGGAAATTTTATGGCCAAGTACATTTGATTTTTTCCACAATAAATATGTTCTAATAAACTCTGCTTAACACTCATTTCGTTTTAAGGAGCTCACAACGTTTTGTGGCAATAATCTTAGTCATTTGGCAAAGGATTGCTGTGGAATGCCAGTTTGTTCAATAAATTCAAGAAATGTTCAGCTGAATTTAGTCTCCAGAAATCCTTATTCATACATTCGTTTCAGTTTTCAGGTTTCCTGAAATGTTCCTAAATTCTGCTGCTTTTTGCCACACATCTATATCAGCATACTGAGTGCATCATCTCTGATCTTTGGCGGCTGTATTGATACATGTGGTAATAAGAGAAGATTATAAATCAAAGAGCTGCTTCAGCCGCTTGTCATGTTGTTTCCCATCTTGTCATGCATGTTAGTGTTTTGTAAAATGTGTGTAAAGCTGATCTAAACATGATAAAATGATAAAATGGAGGAGAATTTGCTAAAAAAAATAATAAATAAAGTGGAGCTACTTCTTTGAAGTAGTGAATAGTACCTGTGTATTGGGATCAATGTTGTGGAATTCAGGACAGGGAACCTTACTTTTGTCGTGGTTTCACCGTCTCAATTTTTAATCTAATTTAATTTCTTTATTTTTTTCATCTTCTGTACATTTCAGTTTACTTTCATTTTCAAGTATCTGACAAACTACGCTACGCTACAGTATGTACGCAGCGTAGTTCAGCATGAAATTATATAACATTATTGAGTCATTACTGCCATATTTGAGTCTCACCGGCATTAGTTCTGTAGAAAGGTCACATGAGTTGTGTTTACATTACAAATGTGCTCAAATCTTTGTCTATGTTCTGCTAATGTCGACAAAAACACAATTTCACACTTGTGGTGTTTCCATTAAATAAGAAATGAAAACCACTTGTGAATTTGTTTATTTACGTGACAAGTCATTAAAAAGCTGCAACGCTACCTGAGAATTTAATATCAACTAAAACTGCACTGAAAAATGTTAAGAGCTCAGTTATTATCAACAAGTTATATCAAAACAGCATTAGACCAAAACTTCAGCCAACTGATCTGCATGAACACAGCAGTTTATTACCAACAGGTGACGCAGCAAAATCCAGAAGTTTACTTCGTTCTTGGTAGAGAGTCTGTGGGCCTGGCGGACTGAGACAACAGGAACGCTCAATCGGAGAACTTCCCACAGGAACATCAAGCTGAACAAAAGAGCACCGAATCTAACAGCAGGCTCTTGTGAAATTGTAAGCTGTTAACATCCAGAATTAAGTACTGTATACCACTGACATGAATAGTTTCAGTTTGAGGTTGTTATTTATTTATTTAAATCGCCAACGTCGACTGGAACAGAAGAACATCTGACCGGAAATGAGCGCTTGGGGACAACGCCGGTTCACGCACTGTTCCCTTCTCAGTCGGCGAGGGTCAGTCTAAATAAACGGAGAAACGAAACGGAAACACCCGAGCTCAGCTCTGAAGCGTTCCTGTTACCGCTCACACGGGCAAACGGTTATTGTCTGGAGTCGGACCCGCAAGCCCCACGAATCTATTCTTTCAGTGCGTTCGCATAATTGTCCAGGTTTTTTCGCTGTAAATTTGTGCTGACAGCTTAATCACAGGCCTCAAAGTAGTAAATGTGAAAGGCAGTGAATAGTCATATTGTGAGCCCTCCAGCACATGGCTGTTGTCCATGTCTGGGATTATAATGGAATAATAAACACAGGGACGTGAGTTTCTCTTTAATGAGGAGGCAGCATCAGAGCGGTCCAATAAAAATCCCTCCTTTTTTTGTTAAATAAACGTTCAGATGGCTATGATTAGCACGAAGAACAAATGACTGTGTGGTGTCTGCTGAAGTATGGGGCTATAAAAAGATCACATCTGTCCACCAGGTTGCCTCACACCTGGATGTAGAGGAAAAACATGATTTGAGTCATGATAGTTTGCCCTTTAAGTAAGTGTGACGCAAAATGTTAACCAACTTTTTTGCCTCCTTCTGTCCGCCATTAGACTCTGAACAGAGAACATTTACACTCAGCCTGACAGCCATTATCTTGTCACTCTGTCGCGCCGCCAGCTAATTACACCGTTTCCCTTTTTGTCAGAAAAGGCCTTCTCTCTGCTCTGCGTGCAGATTCGGAGCGAGAGCCGTGATGAAGGACAGCCACAGCGAGGGGAGACAGCAGACAGAGGCAAATTAGTCTCCAGAGTCTCGGGGAAAAGGATTTTATTAGGTTCACGTGTGAAGCAGCGGCCCGAGCTGTCAGATGCGGTCGGGATTGAAATGTTCCGTCGGTCTGAGTTTTTACGCCGCTTCAACGGAGCCGCGCAGCGTTTCGGCTCCGAGCACAACAGAGACATCTGCGCCGGGTGGGTGAGGAAGCTGAGACGAAAACCACGGGGTTTGGCTGCGCCCCGACCCCAAACACAAGAAACAGCGTCTAATGAGATACTGGAGGCCAGCCGTGTCTCCCGAAATAAAGAGTCCGACCGGCAACTCGGGCACCCCGCAGACCCTCAGCTCGCTTTACGCCTTCTTTACGTGCCGTTTTCAGCTTTCTGGGTTCAGTTAAGAGTTACGATCCAGCAAAAAATGTCAATAAAAAGCGGGTTTTATTTTTATTGTTAAAAACACGACTATTTGTTGGCTGGTAGTTTAAACGGTGGAACATTTCTTGAAACAAAAAAAAGTACACTTTACCAGAGACTTTAGAAATTTTACAAACCACTATTTATATCACATAGTTGTATAATGTAGATGTGGGTCTTCTACAGCTACTGCATTACGTACCATTTAAACGGAATTATTGATTGTTAATACGTTTTTGTTTTTCAGATTTCAAGATCTAAATGGGGAATTCGGTTAAATTTTTGTATTTTATTGTTGCAAATACTAAAAAATAAGGCTCCATAATTTTCCTGTTTAGACAGCAAACACACCACTCTGGCTTTTTGGGATAACATAATTTATCATTCATCACAGGGTGGAATGCTTGTATGTGAATTCAAAAATAATATTTTTTGTGTGAAACATGTCCCTTGATAACAAACCCCGCCAGTACAATCAAATACGCATATGCATATGCATCAGTTCCCATGTGGAAGTGAATGTGGATGTCAAAGAAACTCTTGTTTCTTCACTGTTGTATGGAATAAATTGTTTATACAAGAGCACAATTATGCCCATATAAGACCATATTTTTATGGAAAACAAAGAGTGCTCCATCAAAGTAGCAGCTTAAAAATCATAATCGTAATCATTTCCTATACCATGTTAAGCATTTTTGGCCAGATATCTTTTAGTGCAGATGTGTCTAAATATTTTTAAATGGTATTAATTCTAACAATTTTCTAACTGTTCTTTCTATTTTTTTGTTTAGTATTTTATTTCTCCTATTCTTCTTCTTCTTATTATTATTATTATTATAATTGCAAACATCTTAAAACGTGTTTATTGTTAATTCCAGGAGGCGGACTCACTCACACACACCTGCTCTCCCTCTTCGCGAACATGTCCACTCCTTCTTACCAGATACTCTGCCCTCTACTGTCCCTGGGTAGCATGTCTGTCATCATCCAACGACGAATCACCGGAAGCGCTAATTCTCCCTCCTTCTCGGCTCCTGAATTGCTCCAGCGGTTCAGGTTTGTGTGTTAAATATTTCTGTTAGTTTGGCACTTTTTTGGACTTCGGTGCTTTTTAGTTTTTGTTCTTGCAGTTTTTCTAACCCGTCTCACCACGTTTCTGTTCACTTTTATCCAACTCCGGTTAGCTAAAATAGCGCTAATTATAACATTGTAGTCTTCGGACTCCCACTCCAGCCGCTGGCTCGTCTCGCCCGCTCTGTCAGGCGTAGTGGCTCGTTGAGCCGAGAGAGAACCACCGTCTCCCGGCACATTGCTTTCAAACTCCCGTTGGTTTTCGGCAATGGCGTTTGCGCAGTGTGAAGGAAAGAGGAGACCAGCTGCACAGGCAGGCTGCGAAATGAGATGATCGGTATCGGCAACAAGAGCCAATGATCGCCGATCACCGATCATGCACTTTTTCACGAAAATCGGCCCGATTATGATCGGTGACCGATCGATCGGCACACCTCTACTATCGATTGTAGCAACCTGCGCCACCCGCTGGATGAAGGGAGTTGGTTGGGTGAACAAACTCCTGCCTAAGATCAGTAGCTGTTAGTGATCAGTAGCACTGCTAGTGGATGTTTAGTGTAACACGGAGCAGAAAGCTGAGGTCGTCGTTTCTCCCTAAATTCTGCGGATGGTGCAGGTTGCAACATTCGATAGTAGAACAGAGACTAAGTCTGATCGTAAGAAGTTTTGAGTACAATCATTCCAAGTTTTGAGAAGAAAGACATGAAGTCCTGCTCTCAAAATGAAAAAGTAAGTAAAAGTATTAAAAGTTTTGAGAACAAACGACATCAAGTCCTGTTTCGGACTGAAAATGTGTGCTCTAATGGGCAAAAAGGGAAAGTCAACCAAACAGCTTGATGCATGTAAGCACTGAACACATTGTGGTTGTAGAGTTTTAATTATACAAAAACCACAATTTGAACACTGACATATTTTTACACTTGGATACACTGACCAGAGACTGAAGGCTGAACGAGTCTCACACAGACAGAAGGAGATGTGCAGGAGTTTAAAGTTTTGTATTCGATGTTGGCTGTAAGGTCAATACACGCGAGCAACACGGACATTGGCAGAGCAACTGTAGCGCTGGTTCAACATGGAAGGAGTAACAATAAACAACAGGCAATAGCAGCAATTGTACAGTGCCTTGTACAGGTATTCATACCGCTTTCACATTTTGTCACATTATAATCACGAACTTGAATATGTTTTATTGGGATTTTACATGATAGAACAACACAGAATAGTGCATAAATATGAAATGGAAGAAAATGCTGCGTTTGTATTCAGCCCTGCTCTGTCACAACCTCACAGAACGTTCTTCCATGATGACAACCGAAAACATCCAGCCAGAACTACAACGGGACAGTTCAGGTCGCAGCACAGTCATTGGTTTAAATGGCCCAGTCAAAGTCCAGACCTACATTCAATAGAAAATCTGTAGCAAGACTTAAAGATTGCTTCACAGATGTCCTCTTTCCAATCTGACTGAGCTTCAGCTGCAGTATTTTGCCAGATGTTTTTGCTCATCTACAGGTGGACTCGAGCTGCAGAGCATTCTTACTCCAGACGGTTTGACAACAATGTCGGCCCAGCCATCAAAGTGATTTCAGCTTCAGCTCCTCCGGGACGGTTTTCCTCAAGGTACAGGAGTGTGTTGACGGGAATTTTTGACCGTTCTTTCATAACAGCATCGAAGAGGTAAGACACTGATGTCGGACAAAAAGGCCTGTGGCTCACAGTCTCTGCTCTAATTGGCCCAAAGGTGTTCTAGAGTCAGGAGGCGGTGTGTGCCACACCAGTTCTGATGGTTTGTAGGAATATTCTAAAAATGCTTCTAACTGCCTTTCCTAATAGTTCAAAGATCAAATGTGCCTAAGTCTGCATTAATAGGTACAATGGAAACCATCTTACCACTGGACCTGAAGCTAACATCTACAGTCTTCCTTATGTCTGCTGTTGGGGGCAACAAAATCAAGCTTTCCTGTACATTCATGTGGCTACTGGATTGCAGCCACAGCTGCCCTGGGGCACACACCAGCTCCATCGGTCGATTTGGGTCGCATTAGCGTTCTTACGTCTATCGCATAAAATCTCAATTTCAAAATGTGAAAAAAAGTTCAAGGGGAATAAATTCTTTTGCAAGGCACTCTACCAAACTGGCATGACGGAGGCTGCGGTTACAACAACGCTGACACGAACATCACAAAGACTCAGATAGAGATTATGAACACTAACATAAGTGACAGTCTAGGGAGAGTCCAAACCAACACCCACAGGTGGGCATACGCCTTCGTCCTTGGCTGTGTTTTTAACCTCAGGGTTTCCTTTGCCCTCCGTTTCTCCTAGAACGTCCACATGATGAGCTCTCCGGTAAGCGACAGTGAAGTTTTACAGAGCTACATGAAGATCTGCAGGAAGTGTGTAAATGTTATTGGTTGAGTAAGAGTGCAGATGTTCCTGTATAGTTCCACCGTGCGTCTGGGGAGGCCTCGTCCTTTTCCCGTGCTGCATTTTAACGAGGCGTGTTGTCTTGTTGTCAAACGTGTGGGAGGGGTTCGCTTAGCTGTCACAGATTCTTCGAAGCGCCACACTGCGGTTTGAGAGCGTGTGTGTGTGTGTGTGTGTGAGAGATGGATTACTGAGGCCTGTAATGAGCGGAGTGTGTCTCTCAGGCGGGGAAGGGTCTCAAACCGGCCCCCGGGATCAGCAGTTTGCGGTGTTTGGCCTTGTGAGCTGAAGAAATATGCTTTGCATGGCTCGTTGTGATTGAAAGCACTTATAATGGAGAAGGTATGGAGCGTTCTACATGTGTCCCAGAGCTGCGGGTCAATTATTAGGAGCACGTGAAGGGGGGGGGAGGGCGGATTTGATTCCTCCAAACTGTTAACGTCCAGCATTTTTGGAGCATAACTCTATATCCAAAAATCAACGGAGCATTCCGAACAGTTTCAGAACGAGGTCCGAGGCCAAGAAAAACGAGAGCCTTTGGGGGGCCGGGGTCTTGGAGGGAACTGCCACCTACTCAGCTGCACTCCTCGCAGTTGCAGGCTAGGATGTATCTGTAGGTGGCCGTAATGCGAGTCCCGCCGGCGCAGCGCAGCCTCACCGCCTTCAGCTTGGAGGTGTGTGGTCGGCAGCAGGAGCAGAAGCTCTTGAAGGGCTGCTTGAGCACGGAGCTGAAGGAGATGAGCGGGTCTGAGCGGGTGGTGTGGCTGCAGTGGCCCTCGCAGCGCGCCAGCAACACCATCTGCAGAGACACGAGAGAGGGCAGGTCAGTCACACAGAGGGTTTTCATCAACATCAAGGTTCTGTCAGAGATAAGGACCGGGGAACGGGGCGGTGTGAGCACAGCGGAGCATTGTTTGAGTCTGCCCTGACAGGAAGTAGCGTCTAGCGCCTCTTTGGCCTCCTACTCCCTGGCCTTGCATCTGCGAAATGAGAGATGGCAACAGGAGCCGGTCCCACACTCCCACACCTGAGGTAGTTTAGTCACACACAGCAGACAGGGGTGTATCAAGTCTTCCTCAAGGTTGACCCATCCCCACACACACACACACACACACACACACACACACACACACATACACACATAGCAGCAGCCTGATTAGTGTAGTGACCATCCGACTGGCGCTCCTCTGTGGGTCACTGCATTCCTGTCGCCACCCCTAAACAGCCTCCTGTGTCACGTCTTCTGTCAGCTGCTGTGTCGCCACCCGTGTACCCACTTTGACAAAAGCCTGTCTGGGGCCATAGCAGGATGTCACAAATACACACACACACACACACACGTCAGGAGCGCTGTCGCCACTTTAAGACCATTTGTCTTTGTTCTGGCCGAGCATTGGGCCGTCGCTCTCTCCCCTCATCTGCTCGCCCCGTCCCGACCCTCGCGCCCCCCCACCCCCCACTGCTGTCCCACCATCCATTCAGAGCTGTCATTCATTCATCCACTGATTCACAGATGAAGAACAACTGAGTCACCGCTGTGGTCCAAAGCATCAGAACTACGAAACACTTTCAAAAAAGTAACCACAGTAAATCTCTGTTGTTTATGGATGCGCCATGACTTTCTCCAGCTGAACAGAAACAAAACTGAAGTTATTATCTTTGGACCCAGAGAGGAACGATCTAGAGTCAACGCACAGCTTCAGTTATTACAGCTAGAAACCAGCAATTAGGCATAAAATCTGGGTGTCGTGATGAACTCTCACCTGAACCTTCAGAGTCACATAAAAACAGTTACAAAGTCGGCCTTCTGTCACCAGAAGAACATTTCCAGGATTAACGGACGAATGTCCAAGCAAGATCTGGAGAAACTCATCCACGTGTTTATCTTTAGTCACATTGATGACTGCAGAGTCTCCACAGGTCTGCCTGAAACAGCAGACAGATGCAGCTGATCTAAAACAATGCTGCTCGCGTTCTCACTGAAATAATAATATCAATAGAAATATTATTAATAATAATAATAATGTTAGTTTATAAATCACTGAGGATCTCAGCACCACAATACATTAAAGATCTCCTGTTGTTGTATCAACCTTCCACACCTCTCAGGTCTTCTGGGTCTGCTCTGCATCCAGAACCAGAACCAAACAAGGAGAAGCAGCATTCAGCTTCTATTCACCACAAATCTGGAACAAACTTCCAGAAAACTGTAAAACAGCTGAAACACTGAGCTCCTCTAAATCAGAGCTAAAGACCCACCTGTTTGGAGAGGCATTTGATTCAAATTAACTGGAACATTGATCAGCATATTTGATCCATGTATGTTTGATGATTTTGATTATGACATTTGACCAAATAGAATGTTTATTGCTCGTTTCATAGTCGGTTAGTGTATTACGTTTAATGGGGTGAAGCGCTTTGAACTGCCGTGTTGCTAAAATGTGCTTTACAAATAAACTTATCTTTAACCTTCATGCAAATTTGTGATGAAATTATACATTTTAGGAAGAAAAGGCTACAAATAAAAGACTTCACTGCGACATCTAAATACCTAGCTGCAGGCTCACACTGTGTACAAGAATGCAGAAGAGTAAAAAAAAAAACATACCAAGAAAGTATATTGGAGCTGGAGGCCTATCATATGGTTATAGTTTCCAAAAGAAGAAGGACTTATTGCGCCCTGGAGATCTCTGAAGATCTACATGGGTGTTAAACTATGTTGGTTTAAAACCATTGAGAAGCAATTTAAACCCACACCATCCTGTGGGAGGCCGTATAATGGTCGGTCAGTCATGTGCTTGTAGGCACGATGTGACAGAATGTTTTTGTGATGCGGCAGCGTCATTGTTCCACCGTCTTTGTTTTGGGACAGGGCGACCGAGCGACCTTGAGCACGCAACACACCAAAGAAGGTGGCGTCTCTTCTTCCTCAGCAGATGTTGAGGTCGAGGTCGAAAGACTTGCCGAAATTTGCAACATCTCACGACTTGTTCTCTGGGTGGAGTGGGCGGAAAAGTTATTTTAATTTATTGTGTCCAGATCAAGCACAACTTGGAGTTATTTTGTGTTCCAAGCATTCCTGCAGCTTAAAGTTTGGCAAATGTGTGGCTTTGGGAGACCAGTGAGAACTCGTACCTGTAAAAGATGGTGGCTAGACTGAACCAGCTGCACCTCAGATAAATATTCACCCCCAGTGTTCAAAGGCGGCTTTGAAAATAAGCTGGGTTTGTCTAACCGGGGTAATTTCATCAGGTTATGTGCCATGTGATGAACTGGAAACGTGTCAAAACTCAAATCACTTTATAGTTTTAATTGTGTGTCGTGACGCAGTATGTTTTGTCCAGAACGCTGTAGAAAAAATGATCAGACTGTTAAATGAAAAATACAAGTACAGATAATCACACACACAAATGTTCTCTAGATACATTTTGTATCTGTAGTTTTATCTAAAGTTATTTTCGTACAAAATGTACATATTAGTGGATACAATATTCACGTGTTTTAGCGTCTGCTGTTTTTTATCTTAAAAGAAAAATGAGGGCTGTGAAATAAAAATCTAAACTGTGTACATATAGATATAATAAATTATAATTCAAAACTAAAGACAGAATTTAAATTGAACAAAAATTATTCTAACAAAATTTATCTTAAATTATTTTTATAAATTTTGTGGGAACAGGTCACACCTCTCCCGACCCCACTAAGGGACAAGGGTGTAAAAAAATGGATGGATGGATGGATGGATGGATGGGAATAGGTCACGCTTTTGTTGGAATAAAAAGTGAGTATTTAAAAAAATGCACACATCCTGTTGAAAGATGCTAGTTGTATGAGGGGGGATGCAGTTTAATTCACACAACCCGGCTGTGAAAACACTCCTGTAAGCACCTGTTTGTGATTTCTCAGTCTATCGTTGTAACTGACCATTACTAATAACTGATCAGTTACACATATCCCTCGATAAACATCAGCGGCCTGCAGAAGGCAGGCTATCGCCAGGCAGCTTCAGGTTTCACTGCATCACTTAGAAATGACCGTTTATTTGCCTCAGATGATGAGATCAGCTGTGGGTGACGAATGTCAGGCTAACCGGAGAAACATGTTCATTAATAGTTCCTCCATGTTTCTGCAGAAAAAAAAAAAACATGGAGAGATCTCACATCCAGCAACATGTAAGATCTCTCCAATTGTTCAAATTTAAAATTGTTCAAATTTCAGAACGTGTGTCGATACATTTTGGCAATTTCAAC